AGAAGAAATGGAAAGACCAACAGGAGTATATGGGATGAAAATCGTGTCTGCTGGCTTTGAAGAGGAAGAAGGAGCGCCTGCTGGCTTTGAAGAGGAAGACGGATTAAGCAGGGAGGTGTATCTGAACGGAGGCTGAAAGACGGGTGTCGCAGGCTGCTTTGGGAACGGATAAGCATGGGAAAGAAAGGATCCGGTGTAAACACGTACCACCGCACGCGTTGACGATGCACCCAGCACAGAGGATGCACGCGTAGACAACACCGCGGCTGTAGACGAAGACGCCGGTGTTCGGAGGGTGGAGGGTATGGCTGATGTTGACGACTGAGAGAGTGAACTGGAGCCATAGCGAAGGCTTGTGTGTGGCTTTGAGGACAAATAAGCACAGTACAGAAGAATGTGTGGTAAAACGTACCACAGCGAACGATGGGAGCGCGCGGGACGAGGACGCCGATGACGAGGACGAGGACGCGACTCTTGCAGCCAACGTCGCGGACGGTATAGATGTTGCGGATGAGGAGATTGGGCCTGTCGCAGCCGGGGGCAACGTTGAAGAGGGTGTAGAGAAGGAATTGGGAGCGTAAGGCGCTTGTGCTTGCGCCTGCGCCATCTGAGCTGCTGCAGCCCTCAACTTGAGAGGAAAGATGAGCTCCCGGGAGGACGGCAGAGAGACAAGAACATACCTTCGCCATGAAATCCATAGTCAGAGCTATGGGTGTAAGTGAAGGTGGGAGAAGAGGCGAAAGAGGAAGGGCAAGAAAGCTGAGGGTACTCAGACGCGTCAATCACGCAGAGTTTCCTTCCCAGCACATATTCATAATTATTGATCAAATATTTAATCCTCCGGACCGCATCACCGAATCCAGCCTGTCCGAATGCCTTTGAACGCCCAAATTCACCTCACCCCAGACCATCCAGGCGACGCGATAGCGCTAGGCAGCTTGCAGGCTCGAACGCGTCCCTGAAAAATCCGAGTCGATTCATTAATAAACCGAGAACCGCAGTGGAACCCCAGCAGAGAGCCATCCAGCAAACCAAAGTCTTCCTCCAACACGGGCAGGCAAGTCGACGCGAGTTTCATCCAATCGGCCTTGTGAAATCGTCGGGGTTGACGACGTCGACGTTGCGGGTAGAAGCTGTGGCTCGGTGATGGTCACCTAGAAGCCTTCCTTTCGGTTCCTCGACGTTGAACTCAAAAGGTAATATTCGTGTAATATTTGCGTAATATATACAGTGGCTCTGCATGAAGGTTGTTAATCTTGTGTACTTCAACGACCACCATGTACTCACAGGTTCAAAAAGCGGAAACGGGCACAAGAACTAAATGAACCAATCTGGAGCTTCTCGCAAACACGCGAATTCGTCTGGGAGGCACCGTGGACTTTGTAGCTCTTTAACCGACGACAGAATTCTGGCACGATAAACCTAGTCTGATGTGAGTTCCAAAAGGACGGCGAGAGTCACAATATTCCGTGGGTAAGAAGAAAACGAGCAAGTCCTAGCGCCGGCCATCCCAGTGAGCGCGAAAATGCAAAACAAGGTCTTGCGGTCGATATCATCTTGTGGAAGGCAAAGTACCCTCCTCCAACGGTGACAAGAGGCTGTAACCTCAAGTCAGATGACGGAAAAATGGAAGATAAACGTGGGTGCTAACGGCGTGCGGACACTCTGGCCAAGTTCAAGAAATCCCCTCCCCCCACATCGTCCCCTTTTAGCGAGTACTGCGTGCGCAACTACCGGAGACTTTGGCGGCTACGCCTGGGGAGCAAGGGTGGTGAAGTGGGTTATTTCGCAAAAGGTTCCTAGGAATCACCTCCTTCCTAATTGGTGAGAATCAAGAAAGATACCAAACAAATCCAAAGCTTTCCCGCCGCCTTCAAACTCAGACTGCTGAGTTTGATCTCGCCGATACGTCGGTACTCCTCACCGGCATTTGCAGGCAAGTATCTCGCCGTGTCCACCAATTCCATCTCCTCTGCCCCAACTGGAGTTTCACGCCGCCTGAACTGACCTTTGGATCTAGTTCTTTAACGCTGATGCACGCGCCGAGCAAATGGCGGCTTGATTTCTTGACGGAAGATGCGCGTGAGGAACGGGGAGCTTCAAGAAGGTGACGGTGGTGTGCAGGTGGGATACACAGATGAAGAATCGGTGCGCCTTGTCGAGCACCCAGGCACAACCGAGGTGATTAACGACGCATAGGACTACGGGTTCCTCGCAACGAAGCCGGACGATTGGACTTACCCCACCGCTTCTCCGCTGCTCTCACCCTCCTCGCCCATCCCATTCCGTTCGGGGAGCACTCCTCCCTCTTCGCAAACCCCTCCTCGCCCTTCTCCCCCGCCTCCTTCGCAGCCGCGATCGCCCTCCCCTCCTCCGGCTCCCCCTCCTCATCCTCTTTTGAAGACGTCCACTACACAGCAGGCCCGGCTCCGCGGCCGCTCGAGTCACTCTCAGTCTCTCTGCACGAGATGCAGACGCCCGCGTGGGCCACACAGCTCTGGGAGACAACCCCGCGCCACATGCGCACGCCGTCCCCCCGCTCGCCGTCCCCGCCGCACGCGTGCGGCGCAACTCCCTCACCTCCGGACAAGTGTTTCCGTCCTCGAGTGAGCCGGGATCTGCGCCCGTAGGTGCCGGAATGGGGCACAATGCAATACGGGCATACAGTAGCCGGCGGGCGGAGTCGTTCAGCGCTACAGACGAGCGCGATTGGGACGCCACGGTGCGGCGCAAGAAGCGTTCGGTGTTAGAGGACGAAGTGGTGGCGGAATCATCCAAGACTCCACCTGAGGGCCGTACGTGTCTTTTTCCCTTCGTTCATATGACATTCCTTCCGTCCTTCCTCCGTCTGTCTTGTCTTGCCTTCTGCTCCACATCGTCTTTCATTCCACGTCGCCTTACTCTTTTGCTCACATGCTGACGCGTTCGCACAGCCCCGACCAAGTCAATGCTGCGGCCTCCCAAGTTGGCGCCGTCGGCGTGGCAGCTGTACTTCACGGACTGGATCCAAAGGCAGCAGGCGTCGAGCAGCCGGAAACCCAATGTCGCGCAAGCGGCCAAGGAGGCGGGGCAGGAGTACGCGAACCTCACTGAGGAGGAGAAAGAGGTGTGTTATTCTTACTTCTTCCTTTCACCCACTCCTTTCCTTTCTCGCGCACGCCGTTCCCTCCTGGCTGGTGCTGCGCGTTCAAATCCAAATTTACTTTGCTCCATCTAAGCTAAACTTACCACCCCTGCACAGCCCTACAAGCAACGCTCTCAAGCGGCAAAGGACATCCGCGAGCGCTCGCTGAACGCGTATATGCGCACGCTTACGCCCGAGGACATCAAGCGTGAGAACGTGTTCCGTTCCGCGCAGCGCAAGGCGGGCAAGTCGCGCAAGAGCAACATCAAGGACCCCAACGCGCCCAAGAAGCCGCTCTCCGCGTACTTTATGTTCCTGCAGCGGATACGCGCGAGCAAGGAGCTGGTGAAGGAGGTGTTTGGGGACGAGACTGAGACGACGAGGCAGAGTGTGTTGGCGGCGGCGCGGTGGCGGGGGATGACGGACGAGGAGCGGAAGGTGTGTTTTGTTCCGTTTTCTTCCTTTTCAAGACAATATTGATGAGTGGACAGCCGTTCTTGGCGCAGGCGGAGCAGGAGAAGATGGAGTACGAGGCTGCGAGAAGGATGTACGAGGACGGGTCGGTGCCATACGGATCGAGCATCAACTTTAGTATCCTCCCCGGCAGCCCCGCCTTCCACACGACCGTCAAGATGGAGTCGGAGAGCGAGAGCGAGGGCTTTGTGACCGATGATGGACTGCGCTACCGATAATGGGTTAATCGACAACACTTTCCTTCTTCACTATGGGTTTTTCTTTACCGTTATTCGTTCTGGATCTACTTACGACCCGCTCACGCCCTTCTCCGTCCCGCCTTGGTTCATGGCATATTTATCCTCTTCAGGTTTGGGTCTCTGGATGACGGACAAACTGTATATTATGCTGTATTGATAGATCTCCCTGGCTTTCCCTCGTATATACACTCCTTGAAGGCCACTTACGACTCTGACGACGACTACCCTTACCCTCTATGCCCATGTGTGCTCTATATGCATGCATCTATCTACATACCTACTTACATAGTCCTGGTTATTAGCCGTTCTTGAAAGGACATCCGCGAGCGCTCGCTGAACGTGTATATGCGCACGCTCAAGTGGAAGCCGTTCTTGGCGCAGGCGGAGCAGGAGGAGACTGCGCTACCGTAGCCGTTCTTGTCTATGCAGTGACTTTGAATGCAGATTTAATTTGTGATCTCGGTATTGTATGCTGTCGTAAGCAAGTTCCACCACACTCCGCTCTCCATTAATTGATACGTCGTGCACTAAGAATTCTACCCTGGCAAAGCAAGGGCGGAGGTAGGGTAGAATTGACAAATGATCGTTTATGTAATGTTTTGGGCGACGGTTTCCGTCGTTGAAAACTTGGTGTAGATACATTCCATTGTATTAACTTCAGTTCAAAGAAGGTTGCACAATGGTTCGATTCGACCAAATTCAGAGACTAACCGCCAAAGTCCCAATTAGGAAACTTATCTTGTCATCTCTCCAATCCTTTTTTTTTGTCTTTACAACCACGGAAGCGTGGCGATAGGAAGATGGTGGGTTCCCAAACTCGGCAACTAACCGCCAAAGTCCCGATTAGGAAACTTTTTCGTTTATCTCCCAAAATCATTTTTCGGCCTCTCTAATCAACTTCTTCGCCACTCCCAGGATAGCCCCCGTTGTCTAATGGTCTATGACGTCAGACTTCTAAAATTCTTTAGTATCTGGAGGTTGCGGGTTCGAGTCCCGCCGGGGGTTGTGCGCTGCTTCTCGCAGGGTTGTTTTTGTACCTTTTAGCTTTGGATTGTTCACGGACTTTCCCTCTTACCTTTTGCTTCAGTTGGGATTGAACTTCAAGTACTTGAGTCGTTACCTCTTCAACTCCGTTGGGATTAAGCCGCAAGTTCTCGAGTTGAAGCCATGAAGTTTCTAATGGTCTATGACGTCAGACTTCTAAAATTCTTTAGTATCTGGAGGTTGCGGGTTCGAGTCCCGCCGGGGGTTGTGCGCTGCTTCTCGCAGGGTTGTTTTTGCTACCTTCGTGCTTGACATTTAGATTGTTCGCAGACTTTCCCTCTCCCCTACACATTTTGAGTTGAACATGGCTTCAAGTTTCCTCCATTTTTCTCACAGATACACAAGTTGCACAATGCGCGCAGAGAGGGGGGGATTGGAGAGGAAAGCTCTATGCAAGTAAACCTAAAACAACGGAAAGCCCAGTTTCCGAGAAACCCCTCTGGTTCGGCTCGGCTTCTCTCCACATCGTTGAGTTCATTTTGTGGTGCACAAGGCGTGTATTGTTTTGAGCCATGCATCGGTCCAGAATGGACTTTCCCCGGCCGTGGTTGATCTCCAACCATTGATGGCTCGGTCTGGCAATATTTTGAAACTACTAAAGGTTGGAAATGCTACCAATTTTACACCCGAGGAATAGGCTTGTGTCTAAAGCTCAATCGTTGACAATTGAGCAAAGCCGGGTTTAGTGTGCCGATGTGCCCAGATACTCAGCATTTCAGCGGCAACAAGCTTTGGTTATCGAAACAATGTGCGCTCCCGATCTAAGAGATACACCTGGCCCAATCCTGAGCTCTTTTTCCCCCATGGAACGATAAGAGTTTCGGAGGGTTTCCTATTAGAAATACGCAATGTTTAAATTTCATTCGTTGAAAGGACCCACCTCAACAACGAATAATTCTAATGGGAAACCCGGTCCATCAGAGTCGAAAGGTCTGTGCAAATTAACAAACTGGGTATATTATCCACAAAGGCCAGGTCAACTCTTCCCCTCCTCCCTCTTCTTCCTTGCCAGCTTACGCTCTACAAACGCAACATATTGCGCCATACCCTTCTCCATCAACTTTATCTTCCCCCCACCAACACGATACGTCTTCCCAGGTGGTGTACTCTCATCACCGTCCTCGTCACTCGAAGAGGGCTCGTCCGAATCGTCCCCGTCTGTTGGGGCAGCATGCCGAAGCGACTCGCCCTCAATCACCACACGGCTGAACCACCGGTCGTGCGTGATGATTATTATGGCGCCCGTGAACGTCTTGAGTGCCCGCGCGAGCGCTTGGATGGTGGGGAAGTCAACGTGGGTCGTCACTTCGTCGAGCAGGAGCAACGGCGGCGGGATAAACACGATGAGCGCGATGGCCAGTCGCACCTTCTGCCCACCGCTTAACTGCGCCAGCGGGGTATCGCTGGCAATCTTGCCCTGCAGACCAAAGGAGCCTAGACACTTGCGCGCGTCCTGCTCGACGACGGATACTCCCTGCGCCGCAAAATGGTCCATGAAATGCGAGAGCGCCGTCACTGGTGTATTTTTATCTGATGACCCCGCGGTGGAAGCAACGGACAACTCCTCGACAGAGTGTTGCGAAAAGTAGCCGATCTTGAGAAGCGGATGCCGGACGATGTTGCCTTTAGTTGGTTTCAGGGATCCCATTATCAATTTTGCCAGTGTGCTGGATAGAACATCAACAATGGTATGCATCGAAGAATATCAACCCACGATTTTCCCTGCCCGTTCGCGCCAACAAATGCACATCGTCCGCCTTGGTTGATGGTAAAGGTAATGTCCTCGAGGAACGGCTTCTTCGTCCTCGGGAATCGGTACTCTACTGCGTCAAAGTGAATTAAATCCCCTGTAGTGCGGAGCTTCTCCGGGCTCTCGATGTTAATTTTTATTCGCGACTCGGTTGCGACCTTATCCACGTCGGCGCGATTGCTGTTGAAGTATCCAACCATATCGCGGTTGAGCTTGAACCGCGTGCCCTTCGCGCTCGTTTCCGCTCCCCAACGTTCGTCGAGCCTAGGTTGAATCAGCTCAAGTGCAATGATATGTTGAAAACGAAACCGACTTTTTCTGTCGAGATTTTACCATCCGCTGTCTGAACACAAATAAGATAACGCGTCAATCAACAGACACTGTTCGCATACCGATTTTCATCTCCGGTCTTCTTGGCGCTGGCGATACCCTGCTGGATCGACTTTTCGATCTGCGCAGCGTCAGTTCAATATCGACAGACAACGATGAACCCACATGCTCCCGCTTCTTATCCAGAACCTCTTGCGCACTCGTAAGCTGCTTCGCCTTTTTCCGCTCGTTAACCTCAAACGCCGCCGGCGTACCCTCGAAATACTCGAGTGTCTTATTCCGCAGGATGATGGTCTCTTCGACGACGTTGTTCAAAAAGTCTTGGTCGTGTGAGATAAGGACCAGTGTGCGCGACTGGGCGCTGAGGAAGCCTTCGAGCCAGATGATCGCTTCGAGGTCCTGGTAGGTTGAGTATCTAAAGTGAATGTCAGGAATGAACACGGACCAGGAAATTTGACGGTTCGTCGAGAAGGAGGACGTCGCTGTGGACGAGAAGGGATGTTGCGAGAGAGCAGCGCGACCGCCATCCACCGGAGAGACTGGTATAAGGACCGTCGATCATCTCCTGTGTAAAGCCCAAGCCAGAGAGAATGGTTGCGGCTCGCGCTTCCGTAGATGACGTCTCGAGCTTCGAAAATCAGAGCCCAGGGAGCACAAATAGGGCGCAGCATACCAGTTCGAGCGTGACCTGGATATTTTGAAGCATATCGAGTGCCTGGTTCACAATATCAAGTATGATGTCGGCGGTGTCGACCCCTTCGAGTCTGGGAGGTTATGAGTCCCAGTAAAGGCAATCCACAAAATGCCTTACAGAAGCTCGGCCTGTTTGACGTTCTCTTCAGCCTTGATTTCCTCCAGTCGGGCTTCTTTGCCCCGCGCACCGGATCTTCGGCTCGCCACTTTCTTGGCCTCGACCAACTCGCGACGGCGCACATCGAGTCGCAAGCTGTACACAATACGCTGAGTTTGGCGTAGAGATGTGGATTCCGTAGCCCTGGTCAGGGCTAGGCGGCTTCAATATTATAATGTAATAACTTGGATATTACTTGCCTTCAAGCTCCTCCACTGCGGCCTGCCGTTCCTTGTCCCCCTTTACTACGTGCTGCAGAACGTTGATCGACTCGCCCTGTGCCTCAGTCGCTCTCGCGCTATCCTCGACTTGGGAGAGCAGGAGAATCCGGATAGACGGGCTCAGACCAGGGATCAGCTTCTCGCTTATCGCCGTAAGGAGGGTCGATTTGCCGCTGCCGTTGCGGCCAATCAGGCCATAGCGGATACTTTCCTTGAGACGAAGATGGCTGGAGGAAACTAATTCCCGTTCACCAATAGATATAGTAACGGCTTTGAGATCGATTTCAAGCGTGGTATCGAGGGTTTCGGTGTGGAAGCGAGATTGCTGCGAGGTCGCGATAATCGAGTTTGGATTTTGCGGGGCTGCTTTTGCTTTGGGGGCCATGGTGGTACAGGGTAAAGATAGCAAAAGGACGGTGTCATGGACGGGACCGAGTGCTTGAAACGCGGAGAAGCGAGATAAGATTACCACCGCATCTAATCTCCGTCGCTCACCTCGCGCTCACCGGTCCGAGCTTTTTGCACTGCCTCCTTCCACACTTCCACCTCCTCGACGGACTACGGGCAGTTCAACTAAGCCCGCATATTTCGACTAAAATGCGGAGCTCGTGTAGAAGCTCAAGACACTCGAGTGGGGAGATGTAACCGTCCTCCAGACAGACGCCCCTGCGCCCAGCTCCGTCAATCCACAGCTGGCTAGAGTGACGGAAGGCACAGCGCTGCGTCGACGGATCCTTCAAGAGCGGGCGTTCGCTGCTATCGAGCTCGAGATCCCCATCGCCCTCAGCATCGCGCTCACATCTTCATCCACGAGGAAGCGCTTCCATCTCCCAGTGCGGCCTGTCTCGATTGTACGAGGACGTGGATGTGGACGGCTCTCGATGGCATGCAAAGCAACGAGGGGGATGTCAAGAACGCTGTCGAAGATTCGGAAGAAAGCCATTACTGAGGTCCAGGCAATGTCCTCTTCTACTCTGTAGCCTCAAGCGCCCGCAAACAGGTCTCCCTCAATCTGGTTCTTCTTGAAGTCTTCAAGCGCGCAGAATCTCCGCCACCTTTCCCCAAGATAACTTGGTCTCTTCGGCGACATGCAAGAGAACGTTGTATATGAATTCCGGAGAGCAGCACGAATGGGCCTTACCTAAGCCAACGGGTTCTCCTGCACGCACGTCGTCCGCGTTCGCCCAGAACGGGAGCGCGCCTGTGTACGTGAACGCCGCTGCGCAGTAGCATCGGGCAGGCGTGCGTCGACGCTTGCGCGTTGAGAGCGAAGGCAAACCCGCGTGTTGCCTGCGTGGTCGAGTCCACTTTGCCGGAAGCGCGCGGGCATTGGATTCGTGCACAATCATGCTCTGCTTGACTTGAGTCCGCTCGTCCAGCCTCCCAGCGTCATCGACCCGCACAGAGACGGAGCAACGGCGGGGACACTTCGTACCCTCGACCTTGCGGCGCTCGAGCTCCAATTGCAGTATAGTGATGCTGTGACGGACGACGGGCGGAACATAAATATCGTAGGTGCGGTAGACGACGCTATATTAGATACGATTGGTGAATATGTAAAGTCCTTTGGAACACATTTTGGGTCCTATGCTAAAGCGGTTAAAAAATTACAGCAAATAAATCAGGTGTAGCGAGTACCTAAACGAAATTGGCTGACCTCGGACTAGGCGGATAACTCTTCTGTTCCGATGTAAAAGTCCATCCCTGCCGCCCTCAACTCCTTAAAAGGCAGGAGAAGCTCTTCGGAATATATCGGGCATGAGTGGTTGCCGAGGTGACTTTGAAGGACGAGACGGAAGAATTGGAGTTGCGCGCACTGCGCAAGGTCTCGCCGCTCCGTTATCCACGTAGCCACCAGCTCTAAAATGTCGGAAACGGACAGCGTGCTGTTTTCCGCTCGGCAGCCCCGGAAAGCAAGGCTCCGCAACTGGGGTAAAAAGGTGTGATAGTGGGCGAACCACTCGAGGAAGATCAGGAGAAAGGAGATCGACGGGTGCCAGATCTCGAGCTCGGTGAGATCGGACACCATGCCCAGAGAGGAAAGCTGGAGCTGGAT